ACAGAGGCAACCATTTACTCCAGTGGGTCTCAACTGGTGTGTGTGTGTGTGTGTGTGTGTGTGTGTGTGTGTGTGTGTGTGCGTGAGAGAGAGAGAGAGAGAGAGAGAGAGTTTGTTTAATCATTCACCCACCAAAAGTCAATTGCACAATTTCTAGTTTTGGGTTATTATGAAAAAAAGCTACTTTAAACATTCATGTACAACTTCCTGTATGAAAAGAAATCTTAATTTCTCAGTTGTCCCAGAGTAAAATCACTGGGTCATAGGGTAAGTCTGTTTTTAGTTTAATTTTGACAGAAACTGCCGAACTATTTTCCAGATTGTCCATACCATTTTACATCCCCTCCCACCACCAATGTTTGAGTGATCCAAATTCTCCACATCCATTTGGTGTTATTACTATTTTCCATCTTAGCTATCTGATAAGTTACACGTGTAGTGATATTGCACTGTAGTTTTACATTTGCAAATCTTTCCTGACTAATGGTGTTAAAAATCCTTTCATGTGTTTTTTGCCATCTATACATTTTTTTTTGGGGGGGGGGTGAAATTTCTGTGTGTGTCTTTTGTTCATTTTCTAATTGGAGAGTTTTTTTAAAAAATATATTTTTATTGATTTCAGAGAGGAAGGGAGAAGGAGATACTGATGAGAGAGAATCATTGATTGGCTGCCTCCTGCACACCCGCTACTGGGGATCAAGCCCGCAACCGGAAATCAACCATGATCTCTTGGTTTATATGTCAACACTCAACCACTGACTGAGCCACACTGGCTGGGCAGGGCTTCCATTTCTTTGCTATTATCTAAATTATTTAGAGTGTTGTTTTTTACTTTTTATGAATTGCATTTATGTCTCCCCATTCCAACACAAGTACTATCCAAGAGTCTTCTGTTATAGGAATTGGATTTAATTTTTTTTTAAAGATTAAAATTGATCCTTCTAAAAAGATCAAAAAAAGATTATGAGATTTTTCTTAATCCACAGACTTAGCCCATCTCCTGGTCTGTTTGCAGCTTGTTAAGTGAGGTGATGTCTTTGGAGGGCCAAATTGGAAAGCTGGAGTTACACCAGGGCCGTGACCCTGACAAGGGGGAAAACATCAAGGTAAGCTGGAGGCTTGGGGAGGACAACAGGGAGGCTGTGGGGACCCTGCCATCGCGCGTATTATTTAACAGGGTCATAACAAGAATCAAAACCCATCTACTGTCGCGAGAACGAATGCGATCTGGTGGTGAATTCTGAGCCCCTTTCGCCGGGGTACACTTCTGTTCTCTGATGAAAGAAAAAGGCCAGATTTTAAAAATTCTATCTAGAAAATCAGTCAGGCAAATAAGATAGGTTTATATTTTGATGCTATCTTAAGATAAAGATGAGTACCTCTTCTTCATCCTTGTATCCCACCACATAACAGTACAGAGAAGACACGAAATAAGTATTTGTGAAGAACTGCATTCTTAGAGTGTATGAGATATAGTTGCATCTGTCTTTGCTTCCTTCATGAAGAGTTCTCTGTTGGTTTTCACTGTCTCCTAAGTTTTCCTGTTGTTTTGTCTCCTTACGTTTCTTAGAGAAAGGTTTGATTTTCCCTTTTATAATGATTCATAAAATATTGCAAGAAAGGTTGTGATCAACTCTGGAAAATAATTAGACTTTAGAGCCCTGACTGATAACTTTTTCTGCTCTATTAAACTTCAGGCCTTTGAAGAAAAGTCTCTAAAAAAAAGGAAAAGTCTGTGTCTAGCTTCCCCCCAACACACACACCTTTTTTTTTTTTTTAACTGAAATTGCCAGCCCCAACTTTAGCTTAAGCCAAAGAGTTTAAATTAAGTGGATTTTGGAAGAAGTAAAGGAGAAATAGCTCTTTTATTGTAAGAAGGTAATGTAATTTAAACCCTCACATATGAAAAGCCATCTACAGATTAGCACAGATTTATTACCAAGGAAAAAATTACTTTTAACCGTGACTCGGTCCAACGTTTTAAGGTAGCAACCTCATTTTGTGCTAGTTGAAAAGTCAAGAATTTTTTTCACTGTCCTTGGGTTTTGGAAATTGCAAACTGTGAAAAGAGGGGAGAGGACAAAGGTCAAGAACTATTCTGCCTTAGAAAATTCCTTCAAAAGTCAGCTGTACTACAGGAATGTGGATTTGAGCAGGAGTTAGGGCTAGGGAGGGATGAATATCAAAGGAATGAGGAGGAAGATAAACAAGCACAAAAATAAATGAAAGTGAGATTTTAAAAAAAAACAAGAGCTTGCGGATACTTTGAAAGGGAAAGACATCACAGATATGTATGAAGATTCTCTCTAGAGTTACACAGCTGTGTATGCACTTAAAAAATATACACTCAAACTTAAAAATTAAAAACAGCACAAATATCCACCAAGTGATGTGTGGATAAATTGTAACACATGTTGTAAAATGGAATAGTACTAAGCAATAAAAAGGAATGGCCTTCCTATTCATCCAAACACATGAATGGATCTCAAGTGCATTCTGCTAAGTGAAAAAAGCCAGACTCAGAAGATTCCATAATTCATGATTCCATTTGTGTAACATTGAAAAGGGCAAAAATAGGAACAAAAAATACATTAGTGATTGCTAGAGTCAAGTGGGTAAGAGGAGTAGGAGATCGACAAAAGGGCACAGGAAATTTGGGGTGTGATGGACATATTCCAGACCTTGTTGTGGTGGTGATTATATGAACTGTGCATTGGTCAAAATTCATAGAATTGCACACTTTTTAAAAAGGCGAGTTTTACTGTATATAAATTATAACCTCAATAAACATGACTTTTAAAAAGTGGACACAGGTTCTGTCCTCAATAAGTCTAATGGTTGATGGGAAAGCCTGCGTAAAAACAAATGCAGTGGTTTAATGAATAAGAAACTTTAAATATAATTGTTACAGATGCAAAGTCAGTAGGAATGGTTCTAGGTTTACTCTAATGAAGGGAAAAGTGAGCATTGTTAGAAACAGATATGGGAACAGCAAACCAAGTTTGGGAAAATTAAAGGAGAAATAAGTTAATGAAGTTTTAAATATCACATGAATTGGCTTATTTATTTCTCATGAAGCAATGGTATAACTCAGCAAGCCATAAAAGAGGAGAAGGGAAATTTGGTAAAAGCATTTAAAAACACACACACACACACACACACACACACACACACACACACACACACCCCAAATGTAAAAGACCTTTATACTAAGAATAGCTGAAATCTACCTTTGAGGTAGATTTGGGGTGTTGCCTCCTGTTGAGTCCGCAAGGCCACACATTTTCTGAAATCTCCATAAGAATATCTAGACTTTCATTCTGAAACTTACTCCCATCTCAGTTATCTTTGATAGTACTGTGTAAATATATTTTCTATGTAAACAAACCAGGGCACCAAGTAAAATATGATGATTATATCACAGATATTTTCTAAATAATTAAATGCCACAGTTCAGGGGTAGGTAATGAACAAACTTGGTAAAGAAGGGTGTAGAATATACGTTCTCTATAGCTGTTTGAAGGAAAATACTTACTGATATCCAATCAGCACAGTGCCTAGCTCATTAGTCTCTTACATGAGATATGGCCAATAATATCTTGATTTAATTTAATATTGATTTTGGATATCAGCCCCTAGAATAATAAGGAAAAAATGGCTTTTATTAAATCTCAAACTTTTGAACATGAATTAGCTTTCTTCTGAAAATCATAATTTGTTTTGTCTCAATTTCATAAATCATTCTTTATAATTTTTGTTTTATACCCTTTGTTTTAAAGGAGAAGATTGTGGAAATTAAAAAGCAACTAGGAGAAATGGATAACAAATTTGTCCAGGTAATAATAAAAATGGCTTTATAATTGAGGAAGAAAAACAGTTCTTCAAAGAAATCTCAGATTTAGAGAATATTAGTGATGGAATCTAAAATTTGATGAAAGATAGAATTTTAAACCTAGAAGGGAACTTAGGGTCTTATAATCTATGCCCTCATTTTCAGAAGAGAAAAGCATGACTCAGAAATATGAAGTGATCTGCCCATATTTCCAGATGAAAAGCATCAGTCTTGTTCTTGCTCTCCCATAAATGAATATATGTATATATTCATATGTATGTATATATTTTAAATATATGTATATATTTTGAATATATATGAATATATTTATTTATTTTAATATATACATGTACATGTACTTATATATCTAAATATACCAAAATATTTATATTTAAATGTATATATTTTTCTCTTAACAAAACTAATACATGGTTACTTTAATAAGTAAAACATTATAGAAATTTTTGTTATTAAAAATGAAAAATAATCCTACTCACTCAACAATAAGCATGGTGAACATTATTTTTTTAATTCTCACCCGAGGGCATGTTCTTTCCTTGCCTTGGCAAGGGCTTCTTTAATAATCAATTTCTATTTTTACATAAATAAATAAATTTTAAAATTGAATTTATTGGGGTGACATTGGTTAATAAAATTATACAGGTTTTAAGTGTACAATTCTACAATATATCATCTGCATATTGTATGGTGTGTTTACCACTCCAAGTCAATAAATTTCTAGAAATGGCACCTCTATCTAGAACCCATCTTCCCTGAATCCCAAAATACTGTTCTTCCTGCTATAGTTCTGCTCTTCAAGTCATGCTGCAAATCTATTATGGGATGATTATTTAAAACCTTTAAAATGTCTTACTCCTGACGTATGTGCAATTGGCATTTATGTCTTAGAAGGTGATGGTTTGCTTTCGGCTTGTGTCTTGATCTTACGATAGAAGCCAACCAGAGCCGTCTATTACCGCTACCTGGCAACCTCTAGGAAACATGGGAGGGAAAGACGAAACATAGCTTTTATGGTTCTTTTGCTAAACCATAAGGCCCAAATATTCAAACTAACATAATGAGGACTTAACATGTATATGTATAAATTTTTAAATATTTAAAATTTATATAGTTTTCTTTTTTTCCTCATAATTACACTATGTTTCTCTAACTAGTGGCCTGGTGGATGGTTTTTAAGGAGCAAGGGAAGAGCAATAAGAGAAAAAGACGATTTATTTTAAGCAGTTGTTAATATAAATTTACACTTCTAAAACATTAAAAATAATTGTATTAATCTTTTGGTTATTCCTCCTGCAATTTATCATGATTACACTATGAATTTACTCCAGGGACCAAGGATTTTACTGAGTAAAAATAATTTTTGTTAAAGCTACTTGATAATTAAGTGGCATCAAAATGAGTCAGACTTTATTGTAGAATAAATATAATTTCCATTTTACCCCAAATTATGGGTGTCTTTTCAGGTTGATGCTTGTAATGAAGCTCATGAATTAAAGGAGAAACTCATTGCAAAAATAGAGGTAAGATTTTACTGTTACATAAGTTCAAATAATGGTAAGATAAAATTAATAAAATATAAGTACAGAGGCAATCCTTTCCCTAGAAGTGGAGAATGTACCGCATACTGATCTCTCTCTACCCTTATTGCTGTCCTCTTCCCCTCCTAGCCTTCTTCTTTGGGCCAACAAAAGCAACCCTGGGCTGCTTCCACGTCTCCTCCATCTGGAGCTTCCCTCTATGTATACATATTACCCATTCTTCAAGGCTCAGCTCACATGTCATCTCTTTTAGACCTTCCCTAATCTTCCTTACCCAGAAAAATGACTCAATATTGAACTCCTCCCACAAGATCTTATACAGTGAGGTAAGTGGGAATGAATGGGTGAATGAAACAATGAATAAATGAACCAACCTGTCACCTGCTCAGAGGTACCGGATGACCCCACTTTCTAGAGTAGGTGCCCACCACCAAGACTTAACTACTCTGTCTCATCACTTGGTTTATTTTGTCTTTGGTATGTATATTCATCTATACCGTCTAATGTGTATATGTGTGTAGCATGTAATTCTTTGTCTAACTTGCTTTAAAAAGCCTCCATGCAATACAATGCACATTCCTTGTCTATTTTTTTAGCCACTGCATCCTAGAACAGTGCCTGGTAGGAATCACCAAAAAAAAAAATGTGTCCTATATAGATGAACAAATTGGATAGATAAATTCAGTACAAGGATAATTATCTTTCTACATGAATAGTCCAGCAAAGATCAACATGTGGGTTTTGTTTAATTTTATACCCATGGTGCTAACTTACTCTGTGATAGTGTCTCTTTCTAATAGGTGAGAATGTCTGTCAATGACCTCCTCAAGTGATTCAATGTGGCCCCTGAGGTGTTCTGGGGGAAAAGCACTCTGCATCATCTAGAATAAGACTGGCAGATACATACCTAGAACCATTTTTAAAATATATTTTTATTGATTTCAGAGAGGATGGGAGAGGGAAAGCGAGATAGAAACATCAATGATGAGAGAGAATCATTTATTGGCCCACACTGAAGATCGACACGCAACCCGGGCATGTGCCCTGACCGGAATCAAACAGTGACTTCCTGGTTCATTGTTTGATGCTCAACTACTGAGCCACACTGGCCAAGCTAGAATCATTTTCTAAAAAATGATAGTTGATTGTTCTTCTTTCCAGAACTTCTGCAAGGACATGACTGTGATGAATAAAAGACTGGGGATGTACCCAATGAGAGAAGAGCACACAGACTCATGGAGTCCTGAAGACACGGGTAGGGAAGAAATGGAGCGTCTGCTTCTTCAGGCTCCCCCGGCCCCTTCCGTGCAGAGCTCCCCTCCTCGCAGTACCTTGTGGTGAGTCAGAGAAAGGAGTTGTGGGGGCTGGACAGGCCCTTGTGTGTATGAACAATAGTAACATTAAGCTTCAAGTGTTAAGTGTTGTTTCATCTCCTTTTATAAATTCTTTCTGTTCTTTAAAAGTCATAGTATTTTGATTTTTAGATATAGATCAATTGCATTAGATACACACACACACACATACATATATATATATTTCTTATTGCTTTAGATAACTATATGTATAAAATCTTAAAGGATGGTGTCTGCAGAGTGTGATGCAGCCACCTCCACCAGAGAAGCACACCTGCTAAGCAAATTTAAAAACCTCTGCTTGCTGAACATGATGCCTCTCCCGTGTACAGTATTGAAGACATACATAATGGCAAATGCTGACTCTTTGAACTTCTTTCTAGAGATGCCACACCATCACATATACCCTGAGCATATATATTTTTTAAAAATATATATGATGAATGTCTTTTATATTTCAAGTCCCCAAATGATCAAGATTTCTGCCTTTAGTAGCCCATGGAGTATTAGGAGACAGATTTAAAATAATTCAATTGCAATAATATGCTGTGGGCCCTATGTCAGGATTACATGCAAGATACAGTGCACACAAAAGAGGGAGCTGAAGATTCTTCTGGTTTGGTTGTTGGGGATAAAGAATCAGACGTCGAGCCTGGCCAGTGTGGTTCAATCATTGAGCATCGACCTAAGAACCAAGAGGTCATGGTTCAATTCCCAGTCAGGGCACATGCCCGTGTTGCGGGCTTGATCTTCAGTGTAGGGTGTGCAGGAGGCAGCTGATTGGTGATTCTCTCTCATCATTGATGTTTCTATCTCTCTGTCTCTCTCCCTTCCTCTCTGAAATCAATAAAGACATTTTTTAAAAAGATGTTCATCATGTTCATCAAAAATTAGTTAAGTGAGGAGTAATGTCAATGAAAATGGTGGAATAAAGAGCCCCCACATTTCCTCCTCTATAAAGTCAACGAGAGAGCTGGAAAAAAATGGTCAGAACAATTTTTTTCAGAAACCTGTAAATTAAGGATCGCAGTATCCAGAATATATAAAGAACTCTTACAATCCAAAAACAAAAAGACAAACAACCCAATATTCTAAATGAACAAAGGAGTTGAATGGGCATTTCTTCAAAGAAGATACACAAATGGCCAACAAGCACATAAAAAGATGTTCAACATCATTGGTCATTTGGGAAATGCAAATAAAAATCACAAAACACCTCTTTACTACCCCACTAAGTTAATATAGCTAAAAAGACAGACAATAACAAGCATGTGGAGAATTTAAAACCCCCTTAGGTATTACTAGTGGGATTGTAAAATGGTGCAGTCACTTTGGAAACAACTTGGCAGTTCCTAAAAATGTTAATGGAGCTCCCATATGACCCACTCCTAGGTATGCACCCAAAAGAACTGAATATATTTGCTCACAAAACACCTGTACATACATGAATGCTCACAGCAGCATTTTCATAATAGTTAACAAGTAGAAACATTACAAATATTCAGTAATCGATGAATAGGTAAATAAAATGTGGGATTTTTCAGCCACAAAAGAGAATAAACTACGATATATGCTATAACATAGATGACCCTTGAAAATGTTATGCTAAATGAAAGAAGTCAGACACAAAAGGACACACACTATATGATTCTAATCATATGAAATGTTGAAAATAGGAAAATCCATATAAATAGAACACAGATTAGTGGTTGGCAGGCCTGGGGGCAATGGGAAATAGAAAGCAACTGTTCATGAGTACAGGTTTTCTTTTTGGGGTGATAAAAACACCCTGAAATTACATAGTAGTGATGGTTGAACAAGCTTATGAATAAACTAAAAGCCATGGAATTGTTCTCTTTAACAAATGTGTGAAGCAATTATTTGTGGAACTACCAAGAGATAGCCAGTGGTGATAATGCCGAGAAACTTGACTCAGATTTACAGAATCCACTGAGTGAGGTCACGAAATAGACCCATAGTTAGCGTGAACGGCGCACTAGAGTTTCTCTTCTGAAATGTATTACAGATGGTGATTACCTTCAGGTAACTGGCTAATCTGTGACATTTCTTTTCTTTTTGGTGTTTTTCTGGCTTTTCCAGATCTTCTACCCTAATCATGTATTGTATTTATAATTAGTAAATAATAATGCAAGGAGTGAAAAGCAAATAAATAAACTACATCATAGTTACAGCCCAGGAGGAGGAGTCCTCAGACTTGGAAAAGCTGCTATTACTTTACAAGGGTAATTCTGATGCCAGGACAAAAATGGCGATAGAGAGGCCTGAGCTCCATTTGCCACATTGTATTTTGTGTTCTGAGGAAAATCTAACTGCCCCGTGCCTTTATTTTCTCCCAAATAGGCATCATATAAACCTCATAAATGAGGTAAAGATGGCAATCATCTGTGAAAAGGCCATTTCAGAGGAAAGAATCTCACAATATTGAGGGTTTCATTGTTTCATGACTATGGAATGTTAGGATGCCAGAATCAGTCCTAAAATGAACTTAAGTGCTCAACTATTTTGCAGATGTCAACTGAGGTCAAGAGAATTTCAGTTACTTACTCGAAGCTGTAGAGCTACCAGGGTGGAGGAGACAGGAGTCACATCAGTGTGGTTTTCTTCAGAATGTTCTTAACACGTTTTCTTTCCTTGTAGGAAACGTGCACTGAGGATTTTCATCATATTTTATGCCCTCACCTTCACTGTACTTTCATGTTACATATTATTTTTTGATGCCACGTTTATCTTTGAAAGCGTGCTCCCTACAATGCTTGGGCGCCGCAGAACATGGGAACTACGGGAGATTATTGTGCCTTTCTTAAATTTGGAAGTGGAAGACTTGTTACCCTCCTAAAGATACAATAAAATTCTGGCTGTTCTTGTGTTATGGTGGTTAACCTATTTTTTAAAAAATACTATAGCAGTGGTTCTCAACCTTCTGGCCCTTTAAATACAGTTCCTCATGTTGTGACCCAACCATAAAATTATTTTCATTGCTATTTCATAACTGTAATGTTGCTACTGTTATGAATCATAATGTAAATATCTGATATGCAGGATGGTCTTAGGCGACCCTTGTGAAAGGGTCGTTCTACCGCCAAAGGGGTCGCGACCCACAGGTTGAGAACCGCTGCTATAGGGTGTTTGGCAAAGGACATGGTAGTCATGTAGCAACTGGTTGATCACAGACAGAAAAAAACCCGAAAGCAGTTTATCTCTACCCTTAAACGCACAATGATTCCTCAAATCATTCCACACATTGATTAAAACATTTACTTCAAACCACTAACCTCTTTCATCCTCCAACAGTGAGGACACTGAGACTATCCAGTATTAGCTTCCTCGGTTATTTCACCCATTTGACCTCAGATGTCTCAGAAAAGAAAGCACAGAATTCCTCTCCATTGTTTCCCATTTTACTTAAATTGGGTTGGAGCCATACTTTGAGTGTATGGACATTATTTAGTTTTGCTCCCTAACATTCATTTATGGTTTTGGTAACAGCACCCTCACTTTACTTTAAGAAGTATC